GTGGTCACGTATACTTGATTTACCTGAAAATGAACCTCTATCATTAGTACCATTTATTGATTTTGCTAATCATAAGTATTTTATTATATCTTTAATATATATTTTTAAGATTTATATTTGTCATCTAGTTTAAATGCTAGTGCACGTTGGTTTATTGATGATGAAACACATAATTTAATTCTTCGATCGGAACGTAAATTAAATCCAGATGAAGAAATTACAATTAATTATGGATTAAAGTCAAATGAAGAATTATTATATTTATATGGTTTTACATTATCTAATAATCCAAATGATCGTGTCACATTACCAGTTAGTCTATTACCTGATGATATTTTACTTGAAGATAAACTTCAATTAATTCAAGAATTAAAATTACCTCCTCGATTGACTTTAGATATTAATGGTCATCTTAATAATGAATCAAATCGATTAGTAAAAATTTTAAGTGCACAAACATATGAAACAATTAATAAAGAAAATGAATATTATAAACCATATCTTCTTAACTTATTTAATGAATATCTTAACAAGCTGAATATGTGTTCTGATGATGATAATGAAAAATTTATTAAATATTATCTTTATAGTCAAAAATTAATTATTCAAAAAGCGATAGATAATTTGAAATAATAAAAAAAATTAAACTTTTTTGAATATGATGTTTTTTTTTTCTACTATAAAAAGTCAGTTAAATAAAACCTAGACATGCACCGAACTCCAACTTTAGTTCAATGTTCGAAAACTATTCAACAAGTTTAGACAGTGTTGCCCAAACGTCTCTTGAGATATATGAATAAAAATTTGAATAGAGTATGATCATAAAAATTAAAGAGATGTATTAGGTAATTATAGATAATTGTACGCATGTATAGTTTTATTCGAAGGAAAAGAAAAGCTCCAAGAAATTAGATAATTAATTGACAAAGAAAGATAAAACAGTATTTTTTACAATGGTACGACCATGCCAACACTAACTGTATGATCAGGTGAAAGTATTAAATTTTTTGGACCAAATGGAAATATACTTTTTAATATCGAATAGATTAATAATGTTAATTTACTAGGTAAAGCTCGCCATCCTTTACGTACAACACGAATAGTTATTGCTGGAATAAAAAATGTTATATTACGATCATCAGGAACTGGTACACCATGTTCTCTAGCAGCTAATTGTAAACTAAATTAAATAAAAAGAAAAATCTTCTAATTGTATCTTCTATTTGATCTCTTTCCAGTTCGATCATAACTGATTAAATTAAAAGAAGATGATAAATCTTCAGTTATCTTCATGATTTGTCATTTTCGAATGGTCATCGGTTGAGCAGAACTCATCTAGTTATCCAATTTAAATCAAATGACACATACAGTTATGCACTTGTCCTTCATAATCAAGATTTAAAATTAGCAATTCAATGTCGCAAAGCCATACAAACGAAAGTCGATTATAAAATTTTGACCACAGAACGAGATATATGCAAACTTGTATAGAGACTTCTTCTATCTAATAATGTGTGAAGTATTAAATTCTACTGTGTACTGTTGATGTCCATAGGTCGCGCTACCTATCAACAGTATGCAGTAGAACTTGATAATGCACACGGATATACCGAGCACGAAGGTGCTCACCGACTCCTAAGGAAACTTTTTAATCTCCACCACTGAATTTGATCTTCTTTAGCAAAAATCTTCACATCTACTAACTAAGTTATCGATGTCCGCTTTATTCTTGCGACCTTGGGACACTCTTGATAATGCATACACTATTAGATAAAGAAAGTATTTCTCTAGAAGCCTACATATACTCCTTTAGTGTAGTCAAACATTATCAAAAAACTTGTAGTCACCTTTGCGAAGTAAAAACAAACAGCTAAATTTTTTTTCCATTATATATATAACATGCCTGTGCGTTACAAATCCTGATGATTTCGGTATTTTTTTCTATTATTATTTATTGTACAACGTATTCTCTTTCATATTAAATATAATCATGAGTCTTGGCAACAGATGATATGCGGACGGAAATGAGAGAACATCGAATGGGACGGAATGGCGGGGGGGGGGGGGGGGGGGGGGGGAGAGGAATAAATTTCTATTCGTCTTTATTGACATAATACAATAGGAAAAAAAATCTCTATTAACTCACATATCGAATAAATGAATTTTATGTTCTGCATATCCATAACGTGCCATAATATGATAAACAGGTCGTTCATCTGTACCATATTTGTCAATTTTTAATCTATGACTGATATCAACAACGGGTATTCGTGCATATTCTAATTTAAGAAAGATAGCCACTTGTGGAAGCTATATCAAACAAGACAACTTCAAAAATGAAATCTTTCTATATGTATTAACATACGGCATGAATACGTTCTAATACACGTTCAAATACATGTGGTGCATGTCTTGTTGATGTTGTTAGAAAAACACCAAGACCAGGTGTAACAGTAAAGATAAGATTATCCATTGGACTTTTAAGAAATAGATTTTCATCGGCATTATCAATAAATGGTAAACAATTTTCATCATTATTATTATTATTATTATTATTCATTGATAATGATGATGATGGAAGTATATTTATCATTGATTTTGTTTTATTTTCATTTTCTTCATCACTACTTGCTGTTTCATAATCAATTAATAAACTATTTGATCGTTTAAATTCTTCATGTTTTATTTCTTCTGTTAATTGATTAGTTATATTTGATAAGCCAAGACGAATTGATAATTGAGGAAGTGCTGTTGTTTGTGCATGACAATTAAGATATTGACGAAGTAATGTTTGACCATAATACCAAGAAAAACCAAAAATAAAAAACATTATAGCAATTAATAAAGCTATCCATGCACCTAAAACATTTATCATAACTTTTATCTTTGACAAAATAAAATGAAAAAAATTAACCTTGAAAAAATTTAACCATATTTGCTGAAAGAAAAATAATATCAAATATAAGAAATATTCCAAAAAGAATAACACGTATCCAATGATTATTCCATACATAACGCATAACACACATATAAAGTATTGATGTTATTAACATATCTGAACAAACTGTTACACCATCTAAATATATATATATATATATATATATATAATAAATTTAAATTTATATCAAAAAAATAAAATAAAATTTTCATTATTTATTTACAAGCATGTGCCAAATAATTACTATTACGAAAATATAATGTAATAGATAATGTTATTAACATAATTATCCAATTGATAGTCTTAAATAAAAAATTTTCTTTTTTTTGTTAATTTAAAATGAACAAAAAACAAAAAAAATCATTCGTACAGGTACATAGATTTGTCCAATAACTGTTTTACTTGTATGTATAACACGTAATGATGGTGAATAACCAAGTGATGCTGCTTGACTTATTAATGAAAAAACACCAGTAATAATTGCTTGAGAAGCAATAACTAATTATATTAATAAAATCTATATAGAAACATTTTTTTCCAATTCAATTCATTTACTTGTTGCCATTGTTGCAAGAATAATTAATGGCCATCGAAACCATGATGGACCAGCATTGTAAAATGGATTTGTAATTAATTCAGGATATTGCATAATTAATGCACCTTGACCAAGATAATTAAACATTACAGATGGTAATACAATACATAACCAACTAGTACGTATTGGCCATCGACCAAAATGACCTGTAAAATAATTATAGAATGTTTATAAATTTAATATTCTTTACCTAAATCAGCATAAAGTGCTTCAAGACCTGTTATCGATAGAAAAACTCCACCTAAGAAAAACACTAAAGTATATAGAACAAAATTCTCAAGTTCTTTTCTTTTTTTTTTACCAATTTGCATAAAACCTTTTTGTTTTTCTCGAATTAAATAATTTATAGCTTCCCAAGGATTAAATGCTCGAAGTATGGCTGGTTCAAATGTAATACGCCATATACCAATTGAAAATAGAACAATAAACCAAATAATCATAATTGGTGCAAAGGCTAAACCTAATCATTAATAAATCTTTAGAAAGATCCTTTTTAAAAAAATTCTTTACCAATTTTCGATGAACCAAACATTTGTACAAAGAAAAGAGATATAATTATTAAAATTGTTACTGGTAAAATCCATTTAGTTAATGCTTCAGAAGTTGTTGCTAAACCTTCAACAGCTGACAGAACACTAATAGCTGGTGTAAGTGCACCATCACCTAAATTAATTGAAATATATATTTTAATTATAAAAAAAATATAATTACCAATTAAAAGTGAAGCAGCAAATATTGAAATAATACCGATAACATGTTTAGCACGAGGACGTAATTGACTATGTTCACCTGTTAATAGACTACATAAAGCAAATGTTCCACCTTCACCACGATTATCAGCCATTAAAATAAAAATACTATATTTTATTGATACAATTATAATTAAATTCCATATAATTAATGATATAGCACCAATACATTGTTCTCGTGTTGGATGAAGATTTTCAGCAAAAATTGTACGAATAACATACAATGGACTTGTACCAATATCACCAAATATAATTCCAAGTGAACTAATAGTTAATGATAGATACAAACGTATGTTTCTATGTGATAGAACTTTAGTTTTATTTTCACAATTATCTAACAATGATAGGGAATTTTTCGTTTTATCATGTGTCACAATGTCATTTATATGACCATTACCTAAATGAAAAATTTCATTGTTCATTAAATCTTATCAAAAATAATAATAACAATTTATAGAATTAAAAGTAATGTTTAAGTTACTTTGAATCATTGTGACTGACAGAAGAAGAAGAAGAAGAAGAAGAATGAAATGAAAATAACTAATATAAACAAAATATCACGATAGAATCGGCATTGAATACAAAACAAAAGAGAAATATATCACGTTGTGGAAAAGAGAACAGTAAAAAAGAAGGATGAAGAAAAATTACATCGGCATGCAATCGAACTTTCAAACGTACATTTTCAATATCTAACCTGAAATATAGATAAAAAGATAACATGACAGTTAATGTATGAAAACAACTGAGTTAAACCTAGAGATATCATAACATTATCTTAAAAGTATAGAATAAACAAACTGAATATTATAGAACGACTATGATTTACATTCTCTACTAATCTAAATTCGTTTATCAGAATTTTATCAAATAAAATTGTTTTTGTCTACATAAACAATGTTCGAAATAATAGTTAAATGTGGTAAAAATTGTATTTTAACCAAGTAGGAAA